CACGGGTATAAATAGAAAGCCTAGCTAGCCATGTACTATGAGGGGTACATTCCCTTATTAACTGAATTGCATTGCTACAGTAACCCACGACTATTGCTATTCTAGACAGTTACCATGCTGCATTTCGCAACTGCCTTGTGCGGTTACTGGGCAGTCAAGGGTCACGACCGTTGACTGTCTTCGACTATTGACCTTCGGGTGACCCTCGATCTTCCGCGTGCTCTATATGAGCTCATGCGGTACTGGTACAGGCGTCTGCTTCGCTATGGGGAGACGCGACAGTGGAGAGCCTTCGGGAATGCTTGTAATAGCCTTTCGGTTATTCCAACATATTGTACTTGTTGTCAAGAAGTGTTAACAGCGGAATGGGGATGACTACGTAGTAGCAATGAGATACATTAGTAAACCCTAATTAGGTTGTACCCTCAGAGTACCTCACTGTAGCCTATAACCTAACAAATATATTGTTGACACACACCCATAGGCGAAGTGGGGGACAACAAGAGGCAACAAAGCAAAGTTCATGGTGGATCACAAAGTCACCACACAGTCCGAGCACAAGCAAGCGGCCAGTTCACATGCAGAGTTATAAAAAGCACATGCAGTACAGTGATCACAATCTAGCAAGGGTAAGCATCAGGGCTCTAGATTGGTTTTGGGCCACCCTTTCTAATCAGGGTTCTAGGTAGTCCCAACCCTGACTCATAGGGTAAAAAAATTCGTTCCCTGACAAATACAGGGTAAAAAAACTAATAGTCTGATTGGGCAGGGTAACTCTTCTGGTGCATGTGGATTATCATATAGATATAAAAAAAATGTTGCTATAGGCAGTATTCAGTAGCCTAGTTGGTACGATTACGACTTAGGTCCGTATGGTCTCTTGTTCGACTCTTGCTGAAGGGTAGTATTTTTCAGGGGCTCGAACTGTGTTTCGTCTCGCTACGGAGCATTCGGTATTAGGGTAGTTGTGAATCACCCTGTACAGTCAGAGAAACAAATCCCTTACGCTGGTTTTTAAAGGGTAAAAAAAAACTTACACTTTCTGGCCTAGGGTAAAAATCCCGCTACCCTTTCTGGAAAAGGGTAACTGAAAAAAAGCGGCTGCCAGTCAGGGCAATCAGGGTGTTTTACCCTGATAACGAGAGCCCTGGTAAGCATGCAAGCATATATCTAGATCACAGTACAAGGCAAAGTCAAGAGGTAAACAAGTGAGGCAGAGTAGGCACAAGACCTAGAGCAGTGCAGAAACGCTGATGATCACCGGACCCTAGGGCCTTGGTGAAGATATCAGCAGTGTTGGCGTGTGAGGCCACGTAAGCAAGGCAGAGCTGACCACGCTGCTGCAGCTCTCGTGCGAGAAAGTAACGAAGAATGATGTGCTTCGTTCTGTGCTCCAGTCTTTGCTCCCGACACAAGGCAATCATGGCCTTGTTGTCGACGTACATAACTGGAGGAGAACGAGGACGCTCACCCAAGTCGGCCAGCAAGTAGGTGAGCCAGTGTAACTCCTGTGCAGCCATATCCCCAACGTAGATTTCGGCCTCACAACTGGAACTAAGCACAGAAGACGAGCGGGTGGACCTCCAGGAGACAGAACTAGCGCCGAGACTGAAAGTGTAACCCTGAGACGTCCGCTGGGTCTCCTGGTCGTCGGCTCAAGAAGCGTCAAGTGTCTAGTGAGCACAACTGGACCCCGTCCTCCAAGCACAAGCCCCATGCCTGATGTACTGCACAAGTAACGCATTACCCTCTGCGTAGCCCGGTAGTGCTCAGGGCGGTGTCTCCCGGGCGCAACGTAGCGCGCCTGGTTGATGAAGGGGTACGCGAGGTCAGGTCGAGTGCAAGTCATCAGGCACATGAGACAACCCACAAGCTCTAGATACGGACCACTCGGCTCTACGGACTCGTCCGAAGGTGGAGCTGAGAGTGAATGGCTCGTAGGTAGAGGAGTGGGCTGAGGCGAGGAGAACCGAATGCGAAAGCGCGTCAGGACCTGGTGCACCATGTGTGACCGAGTCAGAGTGATGGTGTGCGCTGCTCTGTTCCGGGTAATCTGCAGGCCAAGATAGCTCCGCATCTCACCTAGGTCAGTGCACTTGTGTCTTTTCTGCAGCTCTGCCTTCACAAGGGCTGGTGCCTCAGTGTCAGAAGTGGCAAAGACCAAGCCGTCGACATACACGAGGACGTAGAATGGCGACAGAGAAGGGTCGGTGTGCAGAAACAGCGACGGGTCAGCAGTCGAAGGAGCAAACCCATGAGTCGCAAGCGTCGTCCTCAGTGTGTCGTGCAACTCGCGGGACGCCTGGCGGAGACCGTAGACTGGCCGCCGGAGGCTCCACTTGGTACCCTCAGGAAACGACCCAGTGAAGCCAGGTGGGCGGCGCAGCCAGATCTCCTCGTGAAGGCTGCCCTGCAAGAAAGCTGTGGAGAAGCCAAGCGAGTGCTGTGCTGCCCGAAGAGAGGTCATCTTCGGGGTGGGGGAGAAGGTATAGAAGAAGTCGACCCCCTGCTTCTGACTGAAGCCGCGTGCAACGTAACGCGCCTTGAAGACAGGCGGAGAATCCGGCGGCCGCTTCACCCTGAAAAACCACATGCCATCGATTATGTTCACCCTAGGAGGGGGAACATCGTCGACATAGGTGCCTGTGGACTTCCAGGATGCCATCTCTGCATCCATTGCTGTCTGCCACTGAGAGTAGTACTGACCCGAAATCGCCTCTGCGTAAGAGCGCGAAGTCGGGATGTCCAGTATGCCGTAGAGCGATTTTAAGAGGAGGCAGACGGCAGCATCGTCCTCCTCGAATGCGTGTGGATGTTCGACGTAGATCGCGTCGACGATCGCGTATAAGAACGCGTTTGAAATGTTGATTTGACGATGCGGTCGCTACTTCACGGCGGCGATGCAGATTAGAATGTGCACAAAGGTGTGCCGTCCGACAGGCGCAAAAGTTTGGTCGTAGTCGACGAACTGAGTTAGCTCGAAGCCGCGCACGACCTAGGGTAACTTGTACTTGTCCACTAAGCCGTCCGCGAGTGTTTGAATGCGGAATACACATTTGCCGCTGAGAATTTTCCTCCCCTTTGCTGATGCGTGCGGCACTAGCTTCCACGTGCCGCGTCGTTTGAGTGTAGCTACTTCGGCGGTCATCGCTGCTTTCCACTTCTCTACGTCGATTCCCTGCAGGGCGTGGCGAACTGTTGTGGGCTCGGTGAGCTGCTGGTTGCCGTGAATGGCGACGGCGAGTCCAAGAGTGCGTAACCCAGTGAGGTTGGAGTCAGCGGTGTTGGTCACTTCGACCACGTCATCGTCGTCGTAGGGATGTCACGAATGGTGTCGCAAGAAGGGTCAAGGTTTTAGTTTTCCTTTATGGGTGAGTGCATTTCAGCACTTTCGTAATTGCGTTGAGCTTGTACTGCTTCATTTGAGTCGGGGCCGGTTGGAATGAATGTTGGGGTGGCGAAGTCTGCTGTAACGTGGATGAAAGGTGCTTCGCCTCCGAAGGCATTTGTTCTGCCACGTCGACTTCGTCCTGAGCTTGCATAGCTGTTCTCCCCCTAAAATATGTTGTCCGGTGCTTGCTGTGCAGTGCGGAGCTGGCGGAACAGTGGCAGCGTCAGTCTTTCGTAGAAGATGCAGTCACATGAACGCGTGACTTGGTGGGTGGTCCAAGCATGGCATTCTTGTTCGATGCCAAGGTGGATGCCCCAACGGGCTCGGTCCTCAATGTTTCCTGTTCGGGCAGTGTGGGGCCGGTACTGTACCATGCACCCGAAGACCCGAAGCATCCACGCGTCTGGGTTTCCCCAGTCCATTCCTTAAAAGGTGAGTTGTTGTTGGGCAAGGCTTTTGAATAGAGGATGTTTTGCAGCCGCACAGCATGGGCCATTGCATAGGGCCAATAAACGGTCGGCACAGCTGACTGTTAGTCTTAGAACGTATTGAACTAGCTATTAACGACCTTTAGTTGACACTGAACTCTCTCGGCTGACTTTTGAGTCCACTCAAAAGGGCATGGGTGCGGGCATGTGCGCAAATATGGGTGCTGGCATGGGAGGAGGCATGGGTAGTGGTGTGGGCGGTGCAGGTGGTGCGGGTGGTTGTGGTAGTGGTGGTGGTGGCATGTCGTCTTGGCAGGCACAGCAGCATGGGCAGGGGCAGCTGCAGGGGCTGCGACAGGGGCAGCAAGGGCAGGGACAGCAGGGGCAGGGGCAGCAAGGGCAGGGGCAGGGGCAGCAGGTGCAGTTGCAGGGGCAGTTGCAAGGGCAGGGGCAGCAAGGGCAGGGGCACGGACAGGGGCAGTTGCTGGGGCAGGGACAAGAGCAAGGGGGGCAGGAGTTTCAGGGGCAGGCAGCGTAAGGCACAGTGCTGCAGGGGGTGGCGGGGGACGGGAACTTGCAGGGGCGATCGGGTGTGCATGGAGGGGTGGGGCAGAAGGAGCCGAGCAACAGCAAAGGCGCCACTGCTGCCGTTGGTGCTGTGGGCGCTGCTGCTGCCTCTCCCGCCCCCGCTGCTCCTGCCACTGCTCCTCAGGTGGGAAAGAAGAGACTTGTGGATTCTTCAAGCTAGAAGAGGTTAAAGCACCCTTGACTAACGCTCTCTTTCTCACACACATTCGTCTGTTTTCTTTGTTGTTACTTTTCATCCCATTCCTAAGAAGCCCAAGTCTCGGCCAAAAAAGGCATCAGCCGCAGCAGCGGCAGTGGCAGCGGCAGCGGCAGCAGGAGCAGCAGGAGCAGGAGGAGCAGCGGAAGCAGCTGCTGCTCAGAAGCCCAAGCCCAAGTCAAAGCCTAAGGTCTCTGCCAGAGCCAGAGCCGCTGCTGCTGCGAACGCCTCTTCTGCTGGTGGGGCAGCCCCGGGTGGCTCTGCTGCTGCTTCTGCTGCGGCTGACGGTGAGGGTGCGCCTGCTGCTGCTGTTGCTGCTGCTAATGCGAGTGGTGCGACAGCAGGGAGTGCGAGGATCAGTGCAGGTGGCAGTGAGGGCGAGGTGGCAGGGAAGGCAATGAAAGGCCTTCCAAGCCCGCGCGGCGGGGGCGAGAAGCAGAGCTTCCTGCGCGATGGCGGGCAGGGGCAGCAGCAGGCGGTGCACTCGCCTCAGCAGTTGGCTCAGCTGGCGGCGCACCTGCAGTCCCAGCTTGGGGGTCAATCAGGTGGGGGAAATGGGGGCCCTCAGGGCAGTCAGTTAGGTGGGCAGAATCAGGTTAGACAGAAGATGCAGCAGCAGCAAATGCAGCAGCAGCAGCAGTTGAAGCAGCAGCAGCAAATGCAGCAGCAGCAGCAGCACTTGCAGAGGCAGCAGGGCATGCGGCAAGGCCAGGTGCAAGGGCAGCAGCAGCAGATGCACATGCAGCAGCAGCAGCAGCAGCAGCAGATGCAGCAAATGCAGGGGCTTTCCTCCCCTCCTCACAGCAGCCCGCCAGCACCGATGAATCAAAGGCACATGTTCCAGCCGCCTCACCAGCAGCCGCACCAGCTGCAGCAACAGCAAGGGGGAGGAGGAAGGGCGATGGGGGGAGCAGGCGGGGCGGGGGGGCAGCTGCAGGCGCCTGGGGAGATGCTCGTGCAGCAGCAACGGCAGCAGCTGGCAGGACCCATGGGGCAGGAGGGGAGGGGGATGGACCGAGGGGCAGGGGCAGGGAGTTGCAGGAATGGGGGGAATGGGAGGGATGGGTATGGGTATGGGTAGCATGGGAGGAATGGGAGGGATGGGGGGCATGGGGGCGATGGGGGGTGTGTTGCAGGGAATGGGAGCAGGCAATGCTGGTGCAGGGAGGGCGGGCTCCTTCCAAGGTGAGCCCACGACTCGCTCGCTTGGTTTGATCCGTTTTGATTGCTTTCCGTCACATGCATCCACGTCACATGCATCCACGTCGCATGCATCCACGTCGCATGCATCCACGTCGCATGCATCCACGTCGCATGCATCCACGTCGTATGCATCCACGTCGCATGCATCCACGTCACATGCATCCACGTCACATGCATCCACGTCACATGCATCCACGACGCATGCATCTACAGAATGGTCTGCCTCACAAGCTCTCAGCACTCGCACCCACCCTACTCTCTCTCTGCTCTCCAATTTTCATTTCTGTCCTCTGCTCTTTTCTCTCTGCTCTCTGCCCTCTGCTCACTGCTCTCTGCTTGCTGCTCACTGCTCACTGCTCGCTGCTCTCTGCTCGCTGCTCACTGCTCTCTGCTCTCTGCTCACTGCTCTCTGCTCTCTGTTCATTGCTCTCTGCTCTGCTCTTTCACTGATCGCTCTGATCCTTCTTCCACCCAATGCCAGGCCAAGGCTCGATGGCATCGTCTCAAATGCCGACCCACATGAGGGGCTTGCCAGCACAGACCATGCAGCAGCAGCCGCAGTACAGTCAGCAGCATCAGGAGCAGCAGCAAATGCAACAGCAGTGGGCGTCTGGCCAGCCAGGAGGTGCAGCAATGCGAATGCGCATGAGAGAAGGGTCCAACATGCGTCAGCCCTTGCTCTCCATGTCCACCCCAACACATACACACATGACGGCACGGGCATCAAGCTTGCCACCCTTCTCATGCCCATGCAACATGACACTCCCCATGCAACCCCAAATCCGAGCCATGCCCACATGCGGCTTCTGGCCCGACCACGCCTCCATGGGTGTGATAGAGGCAGGCAAAGCACTGTGGGTGACCCGGTTCTTAACCCACACAACCCACATCAATGCTTCACCCCACAAGCGAGCAGGGAGACCACTGTCGACCAACAATGTGCGGATCCCCTCTGCCATCGTCCTATGCCACCTCTCCACCACCCCATTCTGTTGCGGTGTATCTACGACCCTCAGTTCAGTTTTGATGCCAAACTCTGCCTTCCATGCTTTCACAGCTTCCCCTAAGAACTCGCCACCCCTGTCTGAGCGAAAAGCCTTCAGCTTCCGCCCGCACTCCAACTCCACGTCCTTATGCCACTGGCGAAGGAATTTTGCGACTGTGGCCGATTCCTTGTTGGGGAGTGGGAACGACTGAACTCGTCTGGTGAAGTCATCAATGAGACTGAGGACATACACCGCTCCTCCCAGTGACGGTGTGCGCACTGGCCCCCACAAGTCCATGTGGACCTCATCCAAAGGCCCAAGTGCCCGAGACGCCTCATGGGGAAACGGCTTTCGAGCCGACCTGCCCATTAAGCAAGGCTCACATGGAGAGCAATCAGTGCCCCCCCCCCCAATCTCCAAGCCCAGTACACTGTTCCCCTGAGCCATCTGTTGCAATGTTGTGGGGGCGGTATGGCCAAGACGACGGTGGGCAAGGGTCAATGGGGAAAATGACGAGGAGGATCTAGCTGCAAGAGCACTGCCCTGTGTGCCCCGAGCAAGAGGAAGACATCCGCACCAATCCATGGTCCCTTCCCCCCTCCTTTTCTCCAATCGCCAACACCCTCTCCCCCCGTTTGATAACACATCCCTTGCCCTTGAATGTGACAATGACATCCCGAGAGGTGAGGTTTGGGACCGACAGCAGACGCGTGTGCATCTCAGGCACAAGGTGGACCTTTTGAATCCTCAGCAGCTGACCTCCAGCACCTGCAGAGATAACTCTATCAACGGGAGCTAGACTACGGGCTAGGCACGGGGTAGGAGGGATCTCTGCGTTCGTTCCTTAGTCGTTCTCTAGCACTTGTGCGTTCACAGGGCAAAACTGCAAGAGTTTCACTAGCAAAAGTTGAGAACAAGGCTACACACAAGATGGCAAGACTAGACTACATCAGAGCTAGGATGCAAGCAGGTCGATTGCCAGCGCAGCATGGTCGACCGCGTGCCAGCACGACTTGGTCGACCGCGCTACAGCAGTGCAGAGTTGCGGCTTGCCAACGCTGCAGGTCGACGGCGTGCCAACACCGCTAGTCGACGGCGGGCCAGCGTTGCTCCCGCAGTACAGCATTGCACCAGCTTCGCAGGTGCTTGCAGATGATTGGTGCGCCGTGCCTTGTCACCTGCACAGCGCACACACACCAAATCAACCTCGTGCTGACGACTGCATCTGATCAGCCACGTCGACCTCGGGATACCACCACCGAGGTCGGTCTCGCCAAAACCACCTGGGCGACCGTCGCACTCCTCCGCAGAACCTCGTCACTCAGGTAACCTGGTCGACCGGGCAACCACGTCGACCAGCTACTCCTTCGCGTGTCTGTCGACCACCCAAGTCGACGACCACTTCCTATCGACCTCACTAGGTCGACCAAACCCTTGGTCGACCAGCCCGAGGTTGACAACACTCCTGGTCGACCAGCTCCACGTCGACCAGCACAGCTGTCAGCCGACCACCCAAGTCGGCTTCTCCAGGTCGGCGTCCCCAAGTCGACGCCCGTCCCTTGTCGAGGTCGACGTCGGCGCCTCCCTTCGTCGACCACCTTCATCAGGTGGACCACCAGGTCGGCCACCCCAAAGCCGGCGCCCAGGCAGGTCGACCACCCTCGTCGACCAGCTCGCCCACTGCTGCAAGTCGGCTCCTCCCAAGCAAGGACGGGGCCAACACACAACTCCCGTTGACACTCCCCTGCCGCGTTCACGCTTGGCCCCCCCAGCCCACACGACAGTACTCATCGGAGAAATAGCTCGTCGGCGTGCACCCCACACACAGCACGCCAGTCACAGCACCAACCATGCAAGAGGGCATGGCACCTACTGCTGCACGTCGTCGTCGCCGTCGCCCACGTCGGCCAAGAGCACCTGGCCGATTGCGACGTAGCGCCGATTGAAGGCCGGATAGTGCAGCGCTTTCGTCAGGAAGTCGGCCGGCTGCTCAGCTGTCGGGATGTACTTCAGCGAGAACTTCCCACGCTTCACCATATGCTGCAGCCAGGCCTGTCGCCGCTCCATATGCTTGAGGTTGCCCGTCAACCCCATGCCCTCGGCGACCATGATGGCCGACTTGTTGTCCACTCGGAGGACGGTCGGTTTCCCGGCATCCAGCTGCCGGAACTCTGCGAGGAGGAAGTGAAGGCGGCGTCCTTCCTTGCCAGCTTCCGTGGCCGCCACGTACTCCGACTCGGTCGACGACAGTGTCGCGCACTTGATGCGCTGTCTCGACCAGGAGACTGCAACCCCTCCGTAGACGAACACGTAGCCGCCCGTGCTCGTCCGGTTCTGCTTGTCACCGGCGTCGTCGGCGTCCACGTAGCTGACCAGCTTCCGCGACTCTGGTCCACCGCCGAACTCCAGGGCGGTGTCACGCGTGTTGGCGAGGTAGGCGAGGCAGCGGTCGACCTCGCGCTAGTGCTGTTCGCTCCTCACCGTGAGGCCGCTCCGCAGTTTACTGCAGGCGAAGGCGATGTCCGGCCTCGTCATTGTCGCCGCAAACTGGAGCGAGCCGACCTCCTGCCGGTACTCCTCCTGACGCTCCTGCAGATTCTCGTCGTTGAACGTCTGCTCGGCTTAGGCGTCGACCGAGACCGGCGTCTTCGGGTTCTCCTCGTCGATGAAGCGCCTACGCAGCTTGTCAGCGTAGCCTTGCTGGTGCAGCCACAGCTTCCCCGCCAACCTGCCGCGGACGATCTCCAGCCCGAGGTACTTCTGCACCAGCGAGATCTCGCGCAGCTCGAAGGCGGCCTCCAGCAGCTCCTTCAGCTCCTTCAGCATCTCGGCACTACTGCTGGCGGCGAGTAGGTCGTCGACGTAAACCAGCATCCAGCAGGCCACCTTGTCGTCGCCGACCTTGAAGTACAGAGCCTCGTCGACCTGGCTCTTCTTCCACCCGGCGCCGACCAGCACGTCGTTGAGCGCCAAGTACCACAGCAGCGGCGACTGCTTCAGCCCGTAGAGGCTCTTCAGCAGCTTGCACACCCGGCCGGTTCCGTCGTTGGTAGTCCAGCTGGTACATGTACAGCACCCAGTCGAGCTTGCTCTACAGGAAGGCGTTCTTCATGTCGAGCTGCATCAGGTTGAGGTTGAGGACGGCGACGATGCTGAGGAAGATCCTCAGCGTGACGTAGCTGCCAACCGGCGCGAACGTCTCGTCGTAGTCGGCGCCGTACACCTGCGTGAAGCCTTTCACGACCAGCCTCGCCTTCTCACGCTCGTCGGTGTCGTCGATGTGGTACTTCGTCGTCAGCACCCACCGGTTCTTCATGACGTTCACCCCCGGTGGGCGTTCGACCAGCTCCCACGTCCCCATGCCGATGAGGCTGCGGATCTCCTCTTCCATGGCGGCCTTCACCGCCGCGCCCTTCCAGCTTGCCAACACCTCCTTCACCGTCATCGTCGAGATATCCCAACGGTGCTCAGGGTCGGCATGCATGTCGGGGTCGAGCTCCGAAAACTCCTTATCCTCCTCGGCGCCGTCGTACAGCAGGTCGTCGTCGTCCACGTCGTACACCGTGGTGAAGGCAGCGGGGACGAAGAAGTCGGGTGGCCTCCGTATTCGGCCTGGCGTCCAAGGTCCAGGCTGAACCTCCACCACGTCGCTATTGGTGGACTCCTCTGCGTCCCCCCTTCGTCACCGGCTTCGCTGCCCTCGTTAGCCTGCTGCACCTCGGTCGGCTTCCTGACCGATTTCTCCCCTGTGGTCGGCTCCCCTGCCGACTGCCCGGTCGCCGACTGCTCCTTGATCGGCTTCGCTGGTGCCTGCTCCCCTGTCAGCTGCTGCCTTGCCGCTGCCCCCTTTGCTGACTTCGCCACAGTCGGCTACACTTCCTTGGCCTGCGCCTCCCCTGCCGGCGTCGACCTCACGCTGACGTCGACTTGCTGGACGTCACGTCGACCACCGGCGATGCCCTTAGCCGGCGCCACAGGCGACGCCCCACTTCTCCCCTCATCGCCGGAGGCCGACACCGAAGCCAGCCCACGCAGGTCGGCCACAAGGGGAGGGGTGGGAGGGACAGGCGAGAGGGAGGGAGAGGGGGTATCATTGACGTCCTCAGCAGCAGGCTCACCGACCTTGGCGAGCAAAGGGAGCGTCGCTGTCAAGGTGTCGGTCGGCGGGGTGGTCGGCGTCCGTCCTGACGCAGACCCGTGCTCCGACTTCCACACCTCCAGCGACATTTCCTCGTAGAATACCACGTCCGACGTGGTGACCACCCGGTTGTCGGCGATGTCGAGGAGCTCCCAGCCGTTGCTCTCCTCCGACATACCGAGATGAAGGCCCCACTTGGCCTTCGGCTTCAGCTTCCCACCACGCTGCTGCTCGGGGACAAGGAACTGCGCCATGCAGCCCCACACGCGTGCCATCGACAGGTCGGGCTTCTTCCCGAGGAGCAGCTGGTACGGCGTTGTACCCGGCGGCAGTGTCGACTGGTCCAGGCATTTGCGGACCCAGACGGCCTGCCGCAGAGTGAGGTGCCACCAGTGGTGCTGCACGCCCATGTGCAGCAGCATCGTCCGCACCAACTCCACCACCGTCCGCATCTCCCGCTCCGCCATGCCGTTCTGCTGCGGGGTGTACGGGCAAGTCAGGTCGTGGACGATCCCCTTGCCATTCACGAAGTTGGAGAACTGCTTCCCGAGGAACTCCCCTCCCCGGTCAGAGCACAGCATCAACACCGACTTTTTCGTCTGCCGCTCAGCCACCGCCAACCACTGCACGAACTCCTGCAACGTGTCCGACTTCTTGGCGATCGTCCTCACCCATACGTAGCGGGTCTTGCGGTCCTTCAGCAGCAAGAAGTACAGGCTGTTGTCCTTGGCAGCAACGCGAAACGGCCCGCACAAGTCGATGTGCACGACGGCTAGCACGTCGTCGGTGTCGGAGCCTTGGTCGGGGAACGTGTGTCGTGTCAGCTTCCCGCCGATGCACGAGACACACGGTGAGTCGGCGCCCAACGCCGACTTGAGGTCCAGCCCAGTGGCAACCTCGTGC